TACTAGAACGGGACGGCCGTCCAATGTTTCCAGCTCTTCAGTGACGGTCTAGCATAGATTGACTTAGGAATCCAACTTTGGAAATTGAAAATAACTCAAAATAACGTTTGTTGTAAGCAAAATATATAGAAATGTAATGAAATTTAGTTTATTTTGTATTATTAATACAAGAATTATAAAATAATGATTACAAAACAATTAAATAATGTTGGAACAATTGGTGATGTTTGATTATAAGCAAATTAGAAAAAGACGATGGGAATGGATCGGACATACATTACGGAAATCATCAAACTGCATCACGAGGCTAACATTAACATGAAATCCTGAATGGAAACGGGAAAGAGGAAGACCAGAGAACACATTGCCTCGGTAATCGGAAGCAGAGATGAAAAAGATAAATAGCAACTAGAACCAACTGGGAAGGATTTCTCAGGACAGAGTTGGTCGGTGAATGTTGCTGAACGGCTCATGCTTTTCGACGAGGGGTAACAGGCTGAAGTAAGTAAGTAATGCCGATAGTAAGATTAAGGTCTTAGTCACAACAATTATTCACTCTGAAAAGTTTTGTTAAGAAAACACGTATGAATTCTTAAAATATCGGAGGACACAAGTTACTCAATATATATATAATTAAATTGATAAAAGAAGGCGCAAAAATCATTTTCACTCATCTCCATTGGGCGCATGAAAAACCATAATTGTAGATCCTATTCATTGAAAACTCTATAAGCTGTTTTATTATATCGACCACGAATCGTAGACGTATACATGGCGATTACTTATTCAAGATTTGGATGTCTCTTTCTTAATATACATAATGAATATCAAAATCGCTTTCACACAACTTGAAATCGATTACTAAATATTCTTCTTTCGAACTATTACCATTTTCACAGTTGGATTCATGAGTCGACCCAAGGTAGCCAACAGCTGAAAACCTGGATTCAATAGACGATCATTTCGTCCTAGTATGGGACTCCTCAGAAGTGCGCATCCCGATCCCGTATGTAGGATTTGAAAACAGGGTCTTCGATTTGCCTAAATTACAAACCACTGAGCAGGTATCCAACTCTGTCAATGTTTAACTTCAATCAATCGATGATCTTGCACAACACTTCTTCCATTGTTTGATATGGATAACTGTCTCACATTTAACACGGACTGAACTTCACTGGACACGGCTTCTCACTAGAACTCTAGGACCTCCCATTTTATAAGAAAAAAAACAACCATTAAAAAAGAACAATTCTATTTCCTGAAATTGTCGTTAGATTCTACAATTATAAGTACAAATTAACACTCGAAAATGAGAGAATTACGAAAGCTATCATCCAGAAGATACAAGTGTTTATTAACAGTTGTCTACGCAAAATACTTAGGATCTGTTGACCAGATGCTATCAGTAACAACCTACTATGGGAGAGAACAAATCAGACTCCAGTTGAAGGAAGAAATCAGTAAGGAATGCCGGAAGTGGATAGGATACACAATGAGGAAAACACCCAACTGCGTCACAGGACAAGCCTCCACATGGAATCCTTAAGGCCAAAGGAGGAGAGGAAGACCAAAGAACACATTACGCCGAGAAATGAAGACAGACGTGAGTAGAATGAATAACAATACGGCAAAACTAGAAAGGAAAGCCCAGGATATAGTGAGTTGGAGAATGCTAGTTGGCGGTTTATGCTCCATTGGGAGTAACAGGCGTAAGTATATAAGTATGTAACTAAGTAACTTACATCCTTATTGATCTAAACGACATATTTTGAGTATGTGATTACTTTTCTTATCATTGCTAATGTATTTTAAATACAATATCATTTGAACCTTTATATATGTTTTGTTTTTTTCGAAATTTTACGCTACCTGTTTCAAGGTGATACATCAATGTTTATGAAGTAGTTAAACAAGATAATAAATTGAACTCAGTTCCATTATAAGTGTTGCTAAAGAATGCAAACTTTCATAGAAATTAATAGTCAACTAAATATTGCTTTTAAATTATTACTATTATATTTGAATACAGTAAACAAATGTTTGCTAAATATCAAGTTTTAAAATATTGTATTGTTTGTTTGAATCTTCTAAATGATGTTTAAGACTTCAATGAATCAGTTTCTTATTAGCATATATGCATCCTGTGTAGATTGTCACCATATTGCTTTCAGTCAAAATCATTTTAAGCAAAGATGAATAATGGTTAACAGTAGAATCCAGGACGCTCGTTTTATTCTATTCGAAACTTGTCATATCATCAATGGGAAGATTCAAACAACTAATACAAAAATGATTTAAATCTACCTATTGCACAGGCTAGTGACTTTCAGGATTTGGTAGGTAAGTGGATAAGTCGATGGCGTTTGAAGCAAATGGTACTGGGCTACAGAGTGGACATCAACTTTGGGATGCAAGTACATCCGGCTGACGAGTCCGAATCAGGGTGAAACGCACGTCCCGGTTTCTACTGCCAGCCACCATTCATCTTTGCTTGTCTTACATTTAAATGAAAACCTTGTTAGATGATCATTAGAATGGCTAATGTAAGAAAATATATGAACATTCTGCAAGCTTAAATACTAGTATATCAAGCCAAGCATCAGTTCGATTTTGATACTTATACGTATTCTACCTATAAGCAATCCTAACCCGTTAGTTGGGTGAGAAGATAAAGACAGAATAAGAAGCTGTATCGGCAATCGAATGAAAGATACATACTAACTCATTGATAGATATGTTTGTCCAGTGGATAATTGAGCCATATCTCAGACAGAAGTGTTCATCCATGGACAACACTCATCTTCCCTAACTTGTGAACACAGTGATGTGAGATGATGGCATTGATCCAGATGATCCCCTATTTAATTTGAAAATTTGGTCTTCACAACTTGTTGAATAACAAGCACTGGCAAATATAATCTATTTTGTCTTTTTTATTGCTATAAACTATATTCAACTACCTTATAAATCAGTATTGCCTCTGGAGTCTATGTGCAAAGATTGAGGTAAGGGGTATGTTAAGTTCTGATAAAGCACATTTATAATAATGTAATTAGTAAAGTGTATTTCAGTTCAGAAGTTAATGAACAATTTTTCAAGGGAAAACAATAAAGTCGTGTGCATTCTAAATCCTTAAAGTAAATAGATATTAGGAGTATTTCATTAATAGAATCTAAAACTATGGTAACTTGGTGAACAACAAAGAGATCTTTAAGTTAGTTATCTTTAGTTTAAAACCATCCAGAAAAGCAATATATTGAAGATGATTGAAATATCAATTAAAGATTCAATATTACTGACTGAAATCATGAGTCAATTAAAGCTAGACCACCATGGAGAACCTGGGAGCACTGGAAGGCCGTCTCGTCCTAGTATGAGACTCCTAAGCAGTGCTCACCCACGCCCCCGCACCACGCGAAATTCCAACCCAGTCTCGCGCTAGGCGCTTAACCAATTAGACCACTGAGCCGGCATCCGATGGTGTTAATGTCTAGCTTCAACCAATCCACGAAGTTACGCCACCGTACACGATTGTCTTGAGCGAGTTGATATCTCACAACAGACCTGGTTGGACTCAACTGGTAACGGCTTCTCACTAGAACTCCAGCAGTATCTTTTGAAGTCAGTCACTAGTGAGCAGATGATTTTATATCTCCACAAAAACCCTTCTGATTCAATATTAGTTAGATATTCCCTTGCAATTTAATTTAGATTATATGAAACTTCATTTTGGTAAAATCATTCAATGAATTGTTCGCTTTCAATGTACGTGTTCATGAAGATATTTATAAGAGATCAAACCTTTTGTACAAAGCTCCTAGTAACAACTATTACTACTGATATCCATTGTAATATCTAATATATTTTTTAGTAGATTATCTACTTGGTAATTCACACTCAACTTTATTGTTTGACCTAGTTTAGTTGTATAGAATTCAATACCTGAGATTGTTATCATCAACTTGGAAGTCAAATAATTAACGAGTAATATTTAAGATAAGCTCATACATGACTATATGTTATGTTATTTGACATAAATGTTGATTTATTTCGAGTATAGAATTCAGTAGTATATGATGGGGGAGTTAAATGTTATGTTGAACTTGTGTCTTGTTGGGGACGTTAGATCCCCAGAATTCACTTGAGAAAAGACCTAATATTGTAATTTTATTTAGAAAATTTGAATTTCTTTGTTTTCGCGCCAAAAGCGCTCTTTTCACCTTCATGTTATATTTCCCACTCGGGGGAATCTCAAACGCTATTGGTCCGTTGTGTCTTTTAGTATGCTATTTGGTAACTCTCCCCAAGGATGGTTTGGTTCTGTATATATACGTTTTGAATTGCGTTTGTTGTTATCGCTCGTTTCTGGCTGTTTGCAGAATATACTTCCCCATTCAAAGCTAGGACTTCTCCCTCTAGTTAGCGGGGCTGGGAAGCATCAATAGCTAGGTTACTGGTCTTTGGTCATCAAGTCTTTGTTCTCGTTCGCAGATTAAGTGGACTCGCATTAGCTTCAACCCTAACATGTCTAAATAAACTGACAACTGATGAAAGTTTTTTTTAAATACATAGAATGACAGATGCATTTTAACTACATCATTGCTTAATCATAGATGATTTCATTCAAATATTGAGATGTGTATATACAAGCATCTAATCTATTAAAGACAATCTGAAGTTAGTCACATACACTAGGTCTACATTCACCGTAGATTTTATAGTCAATGTTATATCGTTACTATTTTTTAAAAATACTTTAACACTAATCCATAGCTATAGTTGAATACATCTAAGTTACTAAGGTTTCAAGTCATTTATATTAAATCATCTTTCAATAAAGAGTTACACTCGTAATCGATTACTGGAAATCAGTTATTGTCTTAGAAAAGAACATAAATGTTGTCTCTCTTTCAATAATGTTTATATTTTCATTTAAAACATACAACATGGTTCATACACAGAACAGTGACATATTAAATGTTTTGGGTAACTTTTACTTTTCACTGAATACAAATACATGTTTTTGTTATTATTCCATGTAGCATATTTGAATTGGCAAATCCACTCCATGAACTGATGAGTATAGGCCAGTTTGGTTTTGGTATTTGTTTTGACATGCCTGGTTTACGAGTTGGTATGGTTTCAGGACGTCTAGTAGTTTTAGGACGTTTAGTAGTAATTGGAGGTCTAGTAGTTTTAGGACGTCTAGTAGTTTTCGGACGTTTAGTAGTAACTGGACGTCTAGTAGGTTTAGGACGTTTTGTAGTTACAGCATAACACTCATCCTGTGATTTTGCTTCGTAAGGATAACGACCTTCATAGTTTCCTCTAAAATACAAAATAATATACAATGGAATGTATCAATTGAATTTTTCTTTTTGGAATTTCAGGAATACAAACATCTTCATATTACTATTATAATACTTAGTAGAATAAAATTATAGTACAATTATTAGTATTCATTATTCATATTTATTTACCCTGGGCCATAATTACAAACAACTGATAATCCATATGGAAATCCATAATTTCCAGTACAATTTGTAATACCACAACCAACATGAGTAGTATTTTGCCATACTAACTAAAATAAATAAATAAAAATTTTGAACTGATAATTTAAAGATAATTTGTTTAAATAGACAATTATATATAACTATCGGAAGGGGTTTTGTGGAGATTGTAGTAATCCCATTAGTTGAAATCATGAATCAATCGATGCTAGACCACCATGGAAAACCTGGAAGCACCGGACGGTGGTTTCGTTCTATTGTAGCAATCCTCATCAGTACGTATCCACGACTCCACCTCGCGGGGTGGAGTTCATCCGGGTCAGTTGTGAAATAGTAACTCACTGATGAAAATGATGGATGTGTCACTCATTTTCGTGGATTAGTTGAAGTTAGACATTAACACCAATGGATGTCGACCCAGTGGTCTGGAGGTTAAGCACTCGCGCATGAGACTGATAGGTCCTGAGTTGGAATCTCGTGAGGCGGGATCGTGGATGCGGACTGCCAAGGAGGAGTCCCACAATAGGACGAAACGACCGTCCAGTGTTTCCAGGTTTTTCCTTGCTGTTCTAGCTTCAATTGACTTATGATCTTAACTATTGAAAATACATATAACTTATATAAAATGTTAAATAAAGAATAACCAGTGAGAAAATAAAATTTGATATTGACAATAAATATATTTATCGTTGACGATGTTCCAACTCGTGTTAATGTAACTTTCGATAAAAAAAATTAAATATATGGATAGATGTAACATTAAACATCTGTCTTTAATAATAATAATAACAATAAGAAGAAGAAGGAAAATTTCAGCTGTATCTACTTAAGATCTAACTAGAAGTGAGATCACGTCATTACAATGACCACTATAATACTAATCATTTACTTCATTAATTTCAATGAATAAATGAATTAGATTTTAAGTGTAGTGAGACTCAAAGTGTTTTACAAGTAATAACTATATATATAGTATGGTATAGCATAGTATAGTATGGTATGGTACAGTATAGCATAGTATAGTGGTTAATTAATATTACAGCAGTCTCATTATCACTTTAGCAAAGTAAATCTGAAGTTATTTCATAATAAAAATATCAAGTAAAATGTATTACTTCATTATGAATGTTAGTTTATTTGTAATAATTTACTTGAGTATAATGTCCACAAACACCATAGCAACTCATTGAATAATAACTATACTGTTTATATTCATCTTTCCATGCATCGAATGCTCTAAAATAAGATTAAGAGGAATTCAGTAATTATAATGATAATGTTAGTTACTGTTCAATTGTTTGATATCCTGCTATATTTTGACCAACATATTCCCATTTATGTGGTAAATTCACATCATTATGATGAAAATAACATTCATTTGCTAAATCTTTAGCTTTTAAAGCTAGTTCATTATCCCATTTCTATTTTACATGTAACATAGATCATGTTATATAAACTTACAAGATCTGGTAAATATTTCGCTGGAGGTTGTCCTTCAAATTTACATTCTGTTAAATTACGTCTAAGATCATTATGATATTGTAGAAGTTTTTGAAGTTGTGGATCATTTGGTTGTGAGAAAACAATGTTTACTTTTATATAAATTAATAATAATAAGATACATAAAATCTGTTTCATATTCATTTGATCTCTGAAAAGTTTGGATAACAGACAATTTATAGAATATTTTAGAGATAAAAAAAAAACAAAAACAAAGAAAACCCCCACAACACCCGTACTGTTATGATGTGATTTGGCACATTATACATTTTCATTTCAGCCTATGTATATGAAATGACAGTTTTCTTTCTATTAAAATGATTGTTTGTTCACTATAAGTAAAATAATTTATGTAGCGTTTTAGGTTGTGGTTTTTTTAGTGCAATCCATGTTCAAATCAAACATGTGGTTCTTTCAATTTAAAGTTTTTATCGTTTCAATTAAATTAGTAAGTTTATTCATATAATTGTATAACTTATTTATTTATTTACACCTGTTACTCCTCGTCAAAGGGCATAGGCAGCCAACCATTAGTCTGCTATGGTGGCCTAGAGAGATAAGATGGCGGTTGGAGGTAGTCAACAGGAAACCCTGGACCCAGGTCTTGTGCTACTTGACACTTGTCAGCAAGGTGTACCTGTAATCTTGAGGGAACTGGTTCGATTCCGTGTTACCCAGCTTCACAGTCAGGGACGTTACCACTGCGCTATCCGGTCCTCGACTGACCTCCTGTAGGACTGAGATGTAATCACAATTGATTGATCACTGGGTGGTGATCAATGTCATGTGTGTCAAGTCCCGAGTTCAGGGTTTCCTGTTGACTACCTTCTACTACCATCTTATACCAACATAGTACACTCAGTCTCGAGTCACCTAGACTAGTGGCCACATTGCAACTTGATCGATAGCATTCTATCTGCACTAACAATGACTTGACACACATGACATTGATTACTACTCAGTGATCAATCAATTGTGGTGGTGGCCCAAAATTTCACTCTGGGTAGATCATTTTCTGCTTGTTATCAAGTTATCGAAATATACATTTCACCATTACTTACAAATAATTATTGACTTAACTCGGCATAGTATGCTATTTGATCTTCCTCTTATTTGTTTCCCTTCTAGATTCCAAGTTATCGCTTGACTCTTGAAGCAGTTAAAGGATTTACTCAATTTACGACATATTCTCCTAATTTACTTTTTAGTTGCCACCTGGTATTTTCAGATCTCATCTGTTGAAATAGTTTCCTCTAGCTGGATATTTATATTTTCTGTTTCTTTGACCTAGTTAATAACATTATCATAGCCTCTACAAATATTATCACTGAAATAAGATCAGACTAGTTTTTAACTCCATATGGATGAAGACTTAAGGCAATGTAAGAATCAATAATACTCTATCCATATTAGTTTTATTTGTTTATTTTCACCTCATAGACTGATTTTATTTACAAAACCATTGGAACCCAATATGCACTACTTAGCATTTTCGTTTCAATATGAGTACTGACTTCCGTTAATTTGCGATATTGTATTCATCCAGTCTGAAATATATTTTGTCAGTAAATCTCTAAGATAATTCTAAATTATTTCCACATGGGTAATTTATTCAAAGTATCAGTCATTTATTATAGTTACAGCATAGCTAAATATCCTATGTATCCACAGTCTCATTGTTTTTAACACAAATAATATAGACAATTGCATAACATTGATACATTCAATAATTTTATTTACCTTATCGTTCATCCTTTCAGTCAGTCAGCTACAACGTAGGATCAGGCACATATATGCATTGGTCCAAGTTGCCATACCTTATTAACACAACACGATGAACACCGGATTCATAAAATTAGTTAATTCTGTGGTGGTGGTAATATATAAAAAAACTCCGCCTGTAGCTCTTCTAGAGTTACTGCCGGTCCCAAGCCCGGGTAAGGGAGGAGGGTTGGGCATTGGGTTAGCGTCTCCATCCCGTAGAAAACTAACTCGCTAAAAAATCGCTTACCAGAAAAAATAATTCAAACCATTTTAACTCTGCCCTGGGAGTTAGAAGGTCTTCATTTAGACGAATTATGACGCTTCATGGTGAAAGCCGAGTTCCTTCGGAAGCCACAAGGCCGATGCCCCTTCTAACAACCAGAGCAAACATTTTCATAGGTACATGGAACATTTGAACAATATGAGAAACCGGGAAGACCAGTCAAATAGCAACGGAAATGAGGAAATACAACTTGGCAGTACTAGGAATCAGAGAAACCCACTGGACCCAAGCTGGACAGAAAAGGCTAAATACGGGAGAGATGCTGCTATACTCCGGTCACGAAGAGGAAAATGCTCCACACACTCAGGGAGTCGCTCTTATGCTGTCCAAAGTAGCACGAAATGCACTTGTGGGATTGGAATCTCACGGATCCAGAATCATCAAATCATCATTCAAAACAAAGAAGAAGGGGATCACAATGAATTTTATCTAATGTTATGCGCCCACCAATGATAACAACGACGACATTAAAGTTCAATTCTACGAGCGGCTGCAGTCAATCATAGAGAAATGCCCAAGAAAGGACCTCACCATTCTAATGTGAGATCTAAATGCCAAAGTTAGAATAGACAACACCGGATATGAAGATATTATGAGACGACATGGACTAGGACAGAGAAACGAAAATGGAGAAAGATTTGCAAAGTTGTGTGCATTCAACAAATTGGTCATAGGGGGCACAATATTTCCACACAAGCGTATACACAAGGCTACATAGATCTCACCGGATCACACTTCAGAGAACCAAACAGATCATATTTGCATCAACAAAAATTTCGAAGGACAATGGAAAATGTGAGAACCATGTGAGGTGCTGAAGTAGCTTCAGATCACCACCTAGTTGTGGCCAATTTAAAACTGAAGCTAAAAAAGAACTGGACAAATGGACAAACAGCACTACAAAGGTTCAATACAGACTTCCTTCGAGATACTGACAAACTCAATGAATTCAAGATAGCTCTCAACAACAGGTCCCAAGCCCTACAAGATCTACTGAATGGAGAATAAACTACTATGGAGGACAACTGGAAAGGCATCAAAGAAGCATTAACTTCAACGTGTCAAGAGGTTGTGGGCCTAAAGAAACATCATCATAAGGAGTGGATCTCTATAGAAACACTGGATAAGATTAAAGAAAGGAAGAACAAGAAGGCAGCAATAAACAGCCGAACACGAGCAGAGAAATTCCAAGCACAAGCGGAATACATAGAAGCAAACAAGCAAATGAAGAGGAGCATTAGAGCCGACAAGAAGAAATACGTGGAAGAACTAGCAAGGACGGCGGAAAAAGCTGCAAGAAAAAGAAATATGAAACAGCTTCACGATAAACCGAAGAAACTAGCAGGGAAATACATTAGAACAGAGAGGCCGGTCAAAGACAAAGAAAACAAGCCAATCACTGTAATTCAACAAAAGCGGAACATATGGGTAGAATACTTCACTAGGCAAGCCCTAACTTGGAATCCTGAAGGAAAGCAGAAAAGAGGAAGGCCAAAGAACACATTACGTCGGATAATAGAAACAGATATGAAAAAGGATGAAAAATAACCGGAAAGAGCTGGAAAGGATTGCCCAGGACAGAGTTGAATGGGGAATGCTGGTGATCGGCCTATGCTCCTTCACGAGGAGTAACAGGCGTAAGTAAGTAATATATAAAAGAAAGACTACATATAAGGATATAATACAGGAACAAAAAATTAGTTCGTAGAAAGAAGGATATGAAGAGATTTTAATCTCTTAGTTCAAGGGAAGACAAAAAGTGTATACACCGACGCCATTGTGATCGACTCTGAGCCATGTCACCCAGAGTCTCCAACTATTGGTCATGATAATCACGCGGACCCCAACCAAGTAGTCTGAATCTACCAACATGGCTCAGACTAGAAGTTAGTGTCTTCAAAGACTGATGTGTTCATCCTACTTTAATCAAAAAGAGAAAAATATATATACAATGAATATTCAATAATGATACAAGAAAGGATTAAGTATTCAGTAGTTATCGGTATTTTATTTATTAATTAACAAAGCAAATTGGAGTATAGTTTTTTGTTAATGCAAGCATTCTCGAATTCAAAAGAAGAACATTTTCTAGAAACAAGATATTGTAATGAAAAAGTGGCATATACACAAAGTATCTATGTATCTCGAATGATGAGGCATCCATGTGTCGATTACACTAAAATAATATTGTCAAATCAAATCCATCTTTCAATTAATCACAATGATATATTGCAGTTAGAAAACACTACTCGGCTTTGGCTACAAGAAAGATTACTGACTAATATAAGTAGTTTAGTCACAACGTTCAACATTAGATAGTTTCCGAAATAAATAACGTTACACACATTACCCTACATAAATAAGATTGTATGATCAGAAGAGTATTAATTACTGTACTATGTAGAAATAGCTATGCAGAAATAACACGAATCACACATGGAGGACATTAAAATAAAAGGAAACTAACTCAAACTATTGAATACGAATGAGTAGTATAGGATAAACGTAACAAAGAGTAAGCTTAGAACAATCGTTATTGAGTGGAAAATATTTGAAATTTTACTATGTAACATAGGGCTGTAATTAAACTCAACTTGATATCACAATCGTGTCAGTCTGCTTAGCGACCAATCAGAATGAAGCGGGAATTATTATATCTGCCATATTTGTAAGCAATGGTGGTCGGCTTTCCTCTCTGTTTTTTCCTCTGTCTCTTTTGTGTAGCTGCATAATTTAATGTTTCAGTGTGCAGAAATTACTCGGTTAATGTAATACACTAAGTGTTATTATTCCTAGTAGGAGATAACGTATTCAGCAATTAGTTCAACAGACTTAGGAATAAACTATAAAACTTATTCTCAAAACTCACTTCTCACCATAAAATTATTCAAAAATGAATAAGCCTCAGAAAAAAGTTTCTTCTGGTTTTGAGACTTTCGAGAACTGTGCAAACACGTTGCCGTTCTTAGTGTTTCATTAATTACTAACAATTATTTACACTTTGAAAAGTCAATTACCTGTTGCGCATAATCATGGATCTGTCGAAGTTAAACATTAACACCGTTGGATGCTAGCTCAGTGGTCAAGAGAATAAACGTTCACGTGCGACACATAAGGTCCTGAGTTCAATATACTGATTATTCAGAGTGAAATTTGTTTTGATTTGCCTGTGTTCATATTTTATTCAATATAACATTAATTGATTTGAATGTGATGTTCTATTCAAGATACATCATTCATGTATTGTTTAATGCACATGGAGTATGCTGAGTATGCGATGTAGTGTGTGATTTTGTTATAAGTCCGGATATCCTTCAAAAATGTGATCTCATGATGATTCATGATTCAAACAAACAATACCAAGTGAATTTAACCATCACCCAATCCAGAAATCCCTAATACTATAGCTGAATGATGATGAATTCTTACTACACACATAACGATTGTCTATGTTCAGTAGTGTTACAATACATCATTCTAGATGTGAAGCTGTTCACTCTAACTAATTGGATGAAAATCACATCAACACAGTACTGCAATGACACGTCTGCGTAATTTCCGATATTCTGTATTGAAAACTACATCAAATAATATCTATCATGGTGTAGTCTGCATTCGGTCTGTTTCATGCCTCCCATCATTTGTTCATATCAAACATTTTAACCGAATGTTTATGTGAAGAAGTCACGTGCTGTTGATATTACTACTGCACACCTAATTTCACAAACTATCATTTCTTGTAAGTTATCCAGTATCCTATTGTGCTGTTTAACTTTGAAGAAGTGATTTCACCGTACTGGTTATGCATAAATATTTCACTATCTTGTAAAGAAATGGTAAGTTGTATATGATCACATACAAATCATTCAGTGAACATACATATTTCCCACTCTATGGGGAATGTTGTCTATCTGACGAACAGTTTATCGAAACTGACTTAACGGAAACGCTATAATTATGCATGATCAGGTAGTTAATCTTTGTAAAGATTCATAGTTTCTCAAACGAAAATATCATTAAACTAGACATATAGATGTTGTGTACAGGGAATAGGAGAATTCACTTGAAATATATGGTAAGCTTAGGATTTATTGTTGAATTACATGTTTAATATTGAATGAAGTGATTATTGTGACTAGTTATATTAATGAGCTGAATGAACGTGAAATCCAGTCAACACACAACACGCAACACACAATACACATACAAAGATGAAATAATCAACACATAGTGAACGTATTCATCAAATGTATCATTCCAATGACCCTTGCCAACATCGTTTCTCACTCACCACATGAATTGCAAGATACAAAACAATAGGATTTGAATGAAATATATTCAATTATAAGTTATGACGAAATGCTACACACATACATATAGTTGAGTAATATCAACACAAAATAGTCCTGCATATCAATGGAAGTAAGTAATGAGTATAAATTCATAGAAGTGTTTGGGTTACAGAAGAGAAACCGCAGTTGAAAAACAGATACGTGGAATAGATATGGAGGCACCAATTATATATGCCAAATGAATTCAATCATTTTCTATATCGCACAATTCTACGACTACGCTGACCTTGTACATTGTCAAGGCCACTCCCACCAAAAACGCTCTTAGAAACTTCGTGTCGGTTTCCCGTTCCGGATATCCATATAACCTGTGTATTGCGACCATTATGATGCAAATTATTCATAGGAATACGTTGACCGTTTAGGTGTTGCTCGTGAACTCTACTTCCACTTGAACCGGTTGATGACAATTTGGGGTTGACATTCACTATTGATAATGGTGCACGCTGTGTATTATCACGCATCGTTCGAAAACTGTCTTTAGGAATATTCTGCATTTTTGGGCACAATTCACGTGATTTCACTTCATATGGTTTCTGTCTTTTCCGATTACCACTAAAACAGTCAACACAATATAAATCATCAGTTACATTCACTATGAGAACAACAACAAGGTGATTGCAAACAATGTTATTTATTCTCACATCATCAAGAGCAATCACTTACCCTGGACCATAATTACACACGATTGATAGACCGTAAATTGGACAACTCGCAACTCCACATCCAATGTCTGTGGTCTTGGCCCAAGCCATCTGAAACGGAATGTGAACAAGGAAATAATGTGATCGTTCGTTAGGTCAATTGCAAGGCATTTTCACTATGTTTCAACATTACCTGTGTGTAAATACATTACTTGTGAATGATGGAGCTAATGTTATCAACTGAAGGAGATACACGTAGAAATGCCAGTATGTGTTGAATAAATATGTTTACACTTGGTGCAGATATGATAACTAGTTGAAATCTACAGAACACTCACTCACTCAATCAATCAATCAATCACTATCTCACTCACTCACCACTCATTCTGTCTCATGTCAACCAACAGTCGAAATCATCTCACGCATCACAACATCGTCATCTTCCATCTATACACAATGAATTTCTGTTGAGTAGATTGCAATATTGTGTTTTTGTGTTCACACTGGTGTTGACTGATTGATTAGGATTTGAATGCACTCGTCAGTCTTAGTACATGCTGGTCAGAGACAAATTTCCGATCTGTTGTTTTCCACCGAATCACCTCAACTCTCAACAAAATACACAAACTCAAATATGACCAAGTGTTGTGGATACCTGTGTGCATAACTGCAATGATCGGATTACGTGCATTCACATGTGTTTTTCAGTCACTTATGTAGATAAGTGAAACCACTTGATTGTTATCACACATTCGTGATGCATTATAATAGGTGTGGACGGAGAGTGGCAAGTGACTGTGGTTATGTTGAACTATGTAGAAGTGGATGAGAATGGACTTACTTGTGTGTAATGCAAACATTCCATACAGTTGTTGTGATTGTAGTCGTATAATTTGTGCTCATTGAACCAAGCATCTACTGCTCTGAATGAGAAAACAGTGAATTGAATAGAAATGAGCTTACGACTTAATGGTTGGATGGAGAGCAATATTTTGTCCAACCCAATCGAATTCATCCGATTGAAGTATATCGTGTTCAAAGGAGCAATTTTTTGCCAATTTTTGTGCATGTGCAGCCAGATTGTAATTCCATTTCTACAAATAAACGTTACGTATATTATTTGAAGAAATTATTGAATAGTGAGTGATTTACCAATGGTGACATATATTTAGCTGGAGGTTGTCCATCAACTTTACAATCAACTAAATCCTGTCTGTATTTTATATGCAGTTCGAGTATTTCGAGGCTTTTCCCATCCATCGTTCTTTGCAAACCCGTAAGGCGTTGATCGTGAACTCTACTTCCACTTGAACCGGTTGATGACAATTTGGGGTTGACATTCACTATTGATAATGGTGCACGCTGTGTATTATCACGCATCGTTCGAAAACTGTCTTTAGGAATATTCTGCATTTTTGGGCACAATTCACGTGATTTCACTTCATATGGTTTCTGTCTTTTCCGATTACCACTAAAACAGTCAACACAATATAAATCATCAGTTACATTCACTATGAGAACAACAACAAGGTGATTGCAAACAATGTTATTTATTCTCACATCATCAAGAGCAATCACTTACCCTGGACCATAATTACACACGATTGATAGACCGTAAATTGGACAACTCGCAACTCCACATCCAATGTCTGTGGTCTTGGCCCAAGCCATCTGAAACGGAATGTGAACAAGGAAATAATGTGATCGTTCGTTAGGTCAATTGCAAGGCATTTTCACTATGTTTCAACATTACCTGTGTGTAAATACATTACTTGTGAATGATGGAGCTAATGTTATCAACTGAAGGAGATACACGTAGAAATGCCAGTATGTGTTGAATAAATATGTTTACACTTGGTGCAGATATGATAACTAGTTGAAATCTACAGAACACTCACTCACTCAATCAATCAATCAATCACTATCTCACTCACTCACCACTCATTCTGTCTCATGTCAACCAACAGTCGAAATCATCTCACGCATCACAACATCGTCATCTTCCATCTATACACAATGAATTTCTGTTGAGTAGATTGCAATATTGTGTTTTTGTGTTCACACTGGTGTTGACTGATTGATTAGGATTTGAATGCACTCGTCAGTCTTAGTACATGCTGGTCAGAGACAAATTTCCGATCTGTTGTTTTCCACCGAATCACCTTAACTCTCAACAAAATACACATACTCAAATATGACCAAGTGTTGTGGATACCTGTGTGCATAACTGCAATGATCGGATTACGTGCATTCACATGTGTTTTTCAGTCACTTATGTAGATAAGTGAAACCACTTGATTGTTATCACACATTCGTGATGCATTATAATAGGTGTGGACGGAGAGTGGCAAGTGACTGTGGTTATGTTGAACTATGTAGAAGTGGATGAGAATGGACTTACTTGTGTGTAATGCAAACATTCCATACAGTTGTTGTGATTGTAGTCGTATAATTTGTGCTCATTGAACCAAGCATCTACTGCTCTGAATGAGAAAACAGTGAATTGAATAGAAATGAGCTTACGACTTAATGGTTGGATGGAGAGCAATATTTTGTCCAACCCAATCGAATTCATCCGATTGAAGTATATCGTGTTCAAAGGAGCAATTTTTTGCCAATTTTTGTGCATGTGCAGCCAGATTGTAATTCCATTTCTACAAATAAACGTTACGTATATTATTTGAAGAAATTATTGAATAGTGAGTGATTTACCAATGGTGACATATATTTAGCTGGAGGTTGTCCATCAACTTTACAATCAACTAAATCCTGTCTGTATTTTATATGCAGTTCGAGTATTTCGAGGCTTTTCCCATCCATCGTTCTTTGCAAACCCGTAAGGCGTTGATCGTGAACTCTACTTCCACTTGAACCGGTTGATGACAATTTGGGGTTGACATTCACTATTGATAATGGTGCACGCTGTGTATTATCACGCATCGTTCGAAAACTGTCTTTAGGAATATTCTGCATTTTTGGGCACAATTCACGTGATTTCACTTCATATGGTTTCTGTCTTTTCCGATTACCACTAAAACAGTCAACACAATATAAATCATCAGTTACATTCACTATGAGAACAACAACAAGGTGATTGCAAACAATGTTATTTATTCTCACATCATCAAGAGCAATCACTTACCCTGGACCATAATTACACACGATTGATAGACCGTAAATTGGACAACTCGCAACTCCACATCCAATGTCTGTGGTCTTGGCCCAAACCATCTGAAACGGAATGTGAACAAGGAAATAATGTGATCGTTCGTTAGGTCAATTGCAAGGCATTTTCACTATGTTTCAACATTACCTGTGTGTAAATACATTACTTGTGAATGATGGAGCTAATGTTATCAACTGAAGGAGATACACGTAGAAATGCCAGTATGTGTTGAATAAATATGTTTACACTTGGTGCAGATATGATAACTAGTTGAAATCTACAGAACACTCACTCACTCAATCAATCAATCAATCACTATCTCACTCACTCACCACTCATTCTGTCTCATGTCAACCAACAGTCGAAATCATCTCACGCATCACAACATCGTCATCTTCCATCTATACACAATGAATTTCTGTTGAGTAGATTGCAATATTGTGTTTTTGTGTTCACACTGGTGTTGACTGATTGATTAGGATTTGAATGCACTCGTCAGTCTTAGTACATGCTGGTCAGAGACAAATTTCCGATCTGTTGTTTTCCACCGAATCACCTTAACTCTCAACAAAATACACATACTCAAATATGACCAAGTGTTGTGGATACCTGTGTGCATAACTGCAATGATCGGATTACGTGCATTCACATGTGTTTTTCAGTCACTTATGTAGATAAGTGAAACCACTTGATTGTTATCACACATTCGTGATGCATTATAATAGGTGTGGACGGAGAGTGGCAAGTGACTGTGGTTATGTTGAACTATGTAGAAGTGGATGAGAATGGACTTACTTGTGTGTAATGCAAACATTCCATACAGTTGTTGTGATTGTAGTCGTATAATTTGTGCTCATTGAACCAAGCATCTACTGCTCTGAATGAGAAAACAGTGAATTGAATAGAAATGAGCTTACGACTTAATGGTTGGATGGAGAGCAATATTTTGTCCAACCCAATCGAATTCATCCGATTGAAGTATATCGTGTTCAAAGGAGCAATTTTTTGCCAATTTTTGTGCATGTGCAGCCAGATTGTAATTCCATTTCTACAAATAAACGTTATGTATATTATTTGAAGAAATTATTGAATAGTGAGTGACTTACCAATGGTGACATATATTTAGCTGGAGGTTGTCCATCAACTTTACAATCAACTAAATCCTGTCTGTATTTTATATGCAGTTCGAGTATTTCTAGACTGTTTTGATCAAGTTTTCTGTTGGTGTCCACACAGTAGACAAAATATATGAGAATGTATATTATCAGTATGTTATACATTTACTTTCGTTTAGTATGTTGTTGCAATGATTTTACATAATGATTTCAATGCCTTTTTATTTGCGTTTGTGTGAATTATGTGAGTTCATCCATTCCTCCATTTGTTTATGTTTGTTTATTTACATCTTCCTAATTGTATTACCTCAGTTTTCTCATTGGAATTACTACGTGTTTTTTTAATTGTTATTCTCATATATGTTTAATAGTACAAATTTGGCTAAGGATGAATGTTTTTATTAAGTAGTATAACAGTAGAATTATTTTGGTTATGTAATATGTTGCCTGAATGATAGATAGTAATAAATTTCGATAATGATATTAGAAGACGAAGATTATCAGAACTATGTGATATATTAGCGCAATACATTTCGAACAATCTGATCACACATATACTTGTTAAGAGCATTTATATATAAAAATAAAAGGTCAACTAGACAGGAAACTGGGTATTATCTGCTAATGAAAACGAAGCCCTTACTCTTGGTTTTAATTTCTCCGTCCCTATAACGCAAATGTCTGAATTGGAAATAAATGCCCAGTTTGAAAATCTATATGATCAACTGAGTACTTTAACCCCTACGTCATCAAATAATCAAAGCTGGTGTAAAGCTAAACTAGTGGATATAGCACACCAATTTCATAGTGTTGGCCCGAAGCAGAGAAGCATATTAACTTCTCAGCATTTTAAATCAGTAAAAGAACTACGATCAAACCCTGATATTGTCTTGTTAAAACCTGATAAAGGATCAGGTGTAGTTATCATGAATAAATGTGAATATAAAAGTAAGATGTTATCTATTCTTAGTGATGAAAGTAAATTTATGCCTGATGTTGAATTTGGAGGTATCTGCAAACTAGAAAGAAGAGTAAATTCAAACCTGGAAAAATTGCTTCTCATGAATATTATTAATAAAGAGGAATTTAACTTTCTAAAACCTATGGGTTCCGAGTACCCTCATTTATATGGACTGCCTAAAACTCACAAACCTAATGTTCCATTACGTCCAATTCTATCAATGTGCAGATCACCTACACATAATCTGGCTAAATGGTTAGCAAAGTTGTTGGATCCTATTCGAAGACATCTATGTAAGTTTTCTCTAAAGGATTCTTTTGAACTGGTTGATCATTTAGATTATATTAATATCAAGGAAAAGACAATGTGTTCATTCCTTGTTTACAAATGTACCTTTAAAAAAACCATTGATATATTATGTGATTACATATCTGAAAACAATTTTCAATCACGTGTACCTTTAAAACTTCTTAAAGATTTACTATTACTATGTACTGACAAAGTTCAGTTCACTTTTGAAGGTGAATACTTTCGTCAGATTGATGGAGTTGCTATGGGTAGTCCGCTAGGACCATTACTAGCAGATGTGTTCATGGCACATGTTGAAAATCAGACTGATGAATTAATGTCACTTTATAAGAGATATGTGGACGATATCTTAGTTGTTTGTGAGAAAAAAGAGGATATGTACTGTTTATTAAATAAACTCAACACTCTCCAAAACCATATTAGTCTCTCATGTGAAGAGGAGAAGAACGATCAGCTTCCCTTTCTAGATATACTCCTGAGTAGACGAGAAGATGGTTCAGTAAAGCGATCTATTTTTAGAAAACCAACGTGGACAGGTCAATATCTTAGTTATTATAGTTATTGTCCTGTGCAATACAAACGTGGTTTGATAAGGTGTCTTTTCAACAGACTCGACCGTATTTGTACCAATGACACCATTGATGATGATGTTAAGTTGTTAAATAAAACGTTAATAGAAAATGGCTATCCTCTGAAATTCATAAATAGATGGAAAGTCCATGGTACAGCGAGACCTACTGTAGCCTCGGTAGAGAAAAAGCCTGTCTACATCACCTTACCATTCAGAGGTGATTCAAATAGCCTTTTACTGAAACAACGACTTAAATCAGTCATCAATAAAACCTATTGCACAGCAAAGGTCATCATCAAAGAAAGAACAAGGTGCATGCTTCATTCAAAACCTAAAGAACATGGAAACGATTACGTCACATCCCACTGTGTTTACCAATTTAAATGTGTGTGTGGTCACACATACATAGGGAGGAGTAATCGTGATCTCAACATTAGGGTGAGTGAACATGTACCCAAATGGCTTCAGAAACAAATACAATCAAGTGACCCAATAAGAGTAGAGGATAAACATCCATCATCCTCTATTGCTAAACATATAATTGAAACAGGTCACAAGATTGATCTAAATTCAGCTTTTGTAGTGCTGTATAAAAGTGTAAAAGGGCGTATACTAACGTTCATTGAAGCCTTAGCCATACGAAAATTCAAACCCCCTTTATGTGTTCAAAAACAGTTTGTTCTTATCTTAAACCTACCCTGGTAATATTGACTTATTATCCAGAGTGATTAGGTTTCGCTTTGTGTTCACATTATTATTATTATTACTCTTATCATTATCCTTATCTCCTCTTACCCCATTTCCTGTCTAGTTGACCTTTTATTTATATATATAAATGCTCTTAACAAGTATATGTGTGACCTGATTGTTCGAAATATATTGCGCTAATATATCACATAGTTCTGATAATATTCGTCTTCTAATATCATTATCGAAATTTATCAAAGGGACTAATTGTTTTAAATTTCTTAAAAGATAGTAATAATATGTATTTTCTTCACCTATACATACACATGTTAAGCAACTTGTTTTGACATTAATTATATCACTCAGGCAATAACAATGTAGAAATTCATACGTACGTACACTAGTTCGAGTTGCCATACCATATTAGCACAGAGATGAAGTTGTCGATTTAAATCCCGTTGTGATAGAGTTAGTAAGAGTATAAGCAGTAATCGGGAAGATTAGGGTCGGGAGATGTTAGTTAAAGAGGATAATCCACTGAAATAAATTTGAGGAGAGAAGTCAGAGACAAGTAAGAATCAGGAGATTAAAATTTGGGAGAACACAAAGAGTGTATGCTCCTGCGCCATTGCAAAAGATTTTGAGCCATGTCATTCAGGGTCGCTAACCATCGGTTGCTATCATCTCGCGGTCCCCAACCAGGTAGTCTTCATCTGCCAACATGACTCAGTCCACTTGTCAGTGACTTTATGGACTTGTTCCACGTTTTGGTCTGGCCGCCCCTAGCTTTCAGTGGTATAGGAGTAGGTTGGAAGGAAGCTAGTCTAGACTGACATATTAAAAACTAAACTGTATACATACATCCTGATATCTTCTAATAATCTTTAAGATAAATTCTTTCAGCTTTTTAGGGGTTGTGGAGATTATTAAGTTTATGATTGAAATCATGAGTCAATTGGAGCTAGACCTACGTGGAAAATCTGGACGAACTGGGCGGTCGTTTGATCCTAGTATGGAACTCTTCAGCAGTGAGCATCCACGATCCTGCACCCGCTAGATTCGAACCCAGGACCTATCAGTCTCTCGTGGATTGCTTGAGGTTAGATACGAACACCATTGGATGCCGGCTCAGTGGTCTAGTTGGTTAAGCACCTGGTGAGAGACTGATAGGTGTTTGGTATGGATCTCGCGGGGTGCAGGATCGTGGATGCACACTGTTGAGGAGTCCCATACTAGAACGAAACGGCCGTTCAGTGCTTCCAGGTTTTCCATGGTGATCTAGATTCAATTGACTTATGATTTCAGTTAATTCTTTCGTTGAATTAACGTTCAATTAAATGTATTTACCCGTGTTTAAAAAGAGTACACTTTTAAACATATTACTAGTTTGAATAGCTATTTATACTAAATATATAAGTTAGCCACTGATTTGTTTAGGTTTTATATTTTCTCTATGTTGATAATAACAGCTTTAGATGAACAATCTCTTTTATTAAATGGATATTTTGAACAAATTGCTAATCAATATCTGTCTATCGAATTATAATGTTTTTCATCAGTCTAAATGATTGAACATCTAGTACACATAATGTTTTGTTTTTATTTGGTTCAAGGTAGTCGTCAGGAAATTCTTCTTCATTTACGTTTCACGCTATTTGACACTCGTGTGCAAGAGATCAGTTCAATGTTAATGAAACAGGTATAACTTGAGTCATTTAGATATGGGTCTAATCTATGAATAACATTAGTTACTACTCAGTGATCAATCGATTATAAATATACTAACAATATTTTTGTAAGCAATGATGGGTAGTGGCTGGAAGTGGATTTCAGGACGCGCGTTCCGTCCTACCTGGGACTCGTCAGATGGATGTACCTGCATCTCAGTTGATGTTCACTCTGAGACTCGAACCAAGTACCGTTCGCTTCAAACGCCATCACGTTATCCACTCAGCTACTGATTCCTGATAGCCACTTGTTTGTGCAATGGGGTGAATTTAAATTCACTTGATATTGTTTTGGCTGGTATCCTCCCATTGAGGTTTAACACTGCAATTGATCAGTCTGTTATTGGTATATGTGCATCATTGCTTACAAAAAGCTTGTGAATTAAGCCAATATCGAGGCATACGCACAGTATGCACATATGCCAATAACATACTGACCGATTGCAGTGTTAAACCTCAATGGGAAGATACAAGCCAAAACAATATCAAGTGAATTTATACTAACAATACATACGAAATAAAATTTAAAATCTTATGGGAACATTGCAAAAGTATATTCCATTGTTCATATTTTAGATTAGATAAAATTACTTGTTCTTCACAATTCTCTCAATAGATTACCAATACGTTCACACGCATTGGTTTTCTCTCATTACTGTGAGAATTTCATTGAGTATGTGTTGTTATGGTCATTCAAATATGTGGGAATATAAAGTACATTTATTTTTTGTAAGAAATAAATCTTGTTGATACTTCAATTGTTTTTTTCGGGTGCTGATCACGGGGTTTGACTTCGATGTTATCTGTTCCCGTCAAACTTCAGTAGGCCGTCCAATCATTCGACATTGATCATCTATGTTGGTGATCTACAAATTCTATTTGCCTCATTTATGTGAGTATCCATTCATCCTTCCATTAATCCTACCGAAATAATTATAATTTCATACTTATTATATATAGAATAATAAAGATCAAATTCTTAATTCAATAGACAACATACAAATAGTCTTCAGTTGATAATTTCACAATATTACCCACAATTTAATAATGTTACTACGACTAACTAGTTGAGTATTCCATGCTTGAGAATCAGGAATTGTCAACTTGAAACACTATAAACTCAACGTTTTGTATTAAAACTATTGTATTGGTTAATTAAACGTATTACTTACACTAGGATTCGATGAAATTTCACCCATTCCTCTGGTAACAATGGTTCGGTCGTATACATGTTAAAATCAGTATTTAGTAAATTAATCACATCCACCGTTGAAATAGGCAATGTATTCCATGCGGTCAAAGTCATTACTCATGGTATATAAAAGGTAGTCTTGCAATTGTATGTAAAACACCAATGAAACACATGAATGGTTCACTGCCGAAACTTTTCGGTTCTGCTGTCACATACTTGAAATTAGAATAGTTATAATAAAATATTTATCGTGTCACTCCAGTTTTGATTATTGATCTTAGACACACTGTCGAATCGATATGTTGTTAATAACAACTCTGACTGACACAATACAAAGCATGCCAATAACTTGTAGTAACTGGCCCTATGTCGAGCCCATATAGGTTATTCTAGTCTCTTGACAGACCAGTCTATTCATTCTTCTCGAGTCACATTTTGACCTTGTTAATTATTCGCCTCGCCTCGTCCCGCTTCGCTCCCTTCCTTTGCCTAACTTTGCTTTGTCTCACATCACCTCGATTCCATTTGACTATAAATATTGAGAAACGCCTAATTAAAGTGAGTTGACTAACATACCATTTTCAATACGACTTGCTTCGCACTTACTTTTTCGTTTCGTTTCTCTAATTGCCCGCTCCCTCCAACGATTGTATAAGATCTACGTATTCAAACATCTATTCTCGCATTTGAATTTCTTTAATTTAGTTATTCAGTGAGGCGAGTCAAGTCGATAATTATATACAAGGATTGACCATGTGTATAAATTGATATCGATAATCACATGATCAAATTGGAGTCAGATATTCCAGGACCACTAAAATCTTCCGTGATGTAAGTGCGACCATTGTCAGGATTTACTACCAAAATGGATGACTTCAATAATGAAATCAATCACTGAATCTTTGGAGATATTTTCTGGTAGTGATGTACTCCAGAAAGAGAGCTATTTAAAAAGCAACCGAGCATTTCCCACTGACATGACCTACCATATATCATAGTGACATAAATGAGTGTCTGTTCAATTCTCAAGATTCCAAGGAGTTCTATATAAGTCTGTTTATCCACCATTATGTAATGCTCCGTAAATAGGTTCAGCTGAGCAGGTTTTAAATATGAAGCGAAAAGTTGCTCTGTTGTCTTAAAATTTCCTTCTTAACTATATAAATTGGGTTGATCGAATTCAATGGAAAAGTAGGATATTAATCTCAAATTTTATATCATCATTATTTTAACTTGGGTACTGAGAACATGTAGTTTACATGGTGAACACTAGCAGTGAGGACAAGTCAGCTATTGTGAACAATTTTGACCCATACAATCTTTCATTATATTCATTAGAGCAAAAATTATCAGTCGTAGAACGACGTCTGCCACATGAACTGTCCCTATAAAAAATTTAACTGAAGATAGACTTCAATAAAAAATTGACAATTTATTACAGATTTCTGATCGAGATTCTCAGCTATCAATCCAACCAATCCTTTGCACCTCCAATCCAACATTGCTGTAGGGGACATGATATTAGAGCGATGAATACGTCTAAGTTATATATTGAAAAACATTACTAATGAAGCTCATTTAAAATATTTACAATCTGGAACATTTTTTTTGTTATTTAAATAGCGCGAACTTGCCAACCGAATTTATCTTTATTAAGTGGAATGTAATGAAGACTACTTTAATAAAAAGTTACACAACAAGTTAGAACTTATAAACATAAGACAAATCATGTGTGAAATAGGAGTATGAGATGACCAGTTAAGTGCAACTTGAGTATCGCAGATCCAGTTCACAAGTTCATCAATGAACCTTTAGCTATTGGTTTCCAATGGCTTGCAAAGTTGAAAGATGTAATGAAACATCTAGTTATGAGTAATCATTGGGGAATTTATGCGATCCAAAGATTTGACTAAGACTACATTAGAATCAATTGCAGTAAGATTTTGTATGGGTGCCAGCTCATGGAATAAATGATAAAAATTCCTACAATCCAGGAAACGATGTCCGTAAATATTTACAACAGAATAATAGATTTCAATCCATGTTATGAAAATTCACACACAACAATTGCTACAACACACTATAATCATGACCATCATGTGCTAACACGTGACTGAATTCCAAACGTAATTTGCAGAATTCTAGCGGAAATTTGTGACCATGTTGGTTGTAAGATAAGCATCACCACTGAGAATCAAAGATAATCGTGCAATATGGCGAAATGACTGAATTTAGGAAAGCAAATGATCTAATCATAACATCGTGATCTGAAGGTTAAATACTCACTACGAAGCCATGTTTCGATCCCTGATTGTTTCGTTGATGAATATTTTTGATGAGTTCCATACTACGATAAAACATCTAGAATGATGTAATATAACACTACTGAACATAGAAAATCATTCATTTCAAACCAATCAGGAGAGGAAGAATCAGGTTCCAATACAGTTATTTCCTTCATTTACTTAACTAAACTGTATTTGTTGATGGAATATCGAGCAAGCAATCAGTAACTGTGAAAGTAAAGAACATCTACAGTAGAATCGTTCCCCATAGAACGCGATCGAAAACACATTACAGTGTCAACAATATGCATAGTATACACATAGTGTGACATTCTACATAGATAAAAATAATATTGAAGATTTCATCATTTTCGTTACTCATTACGTAATAGGTAAGTGCATTATTGTTTACCATGTAAGTATAATTGACTCTACATCGATCTCACATCATACAACTCCATACCATTTTAATGATGTCGATGAACATTCTAACCATCAATACATAATACACATTCATTAGATCTCTATACTAAATGACATAATTAGTTATTACTTATCATTTTTTAATCAGTAGTCATTTAGTTGATATACAACTATTAAATAATCAATAACAGTATCAAATCAGCATTATAATCAGTATTTAAAATGAGATAAATATGGGAATAATGATAAAAAATTATGATCAATTAAAACGAAGTGACGGTGAATGGATTTTATACAATATCACCTCCATTAAACTAATACTTGATTATATTGACAAACTGAATATCCCTGTTGAGAACATTGTAAACTGTGTGACTAAAAGTGATGTACTTTATTGAATTTAGGAAATTTTTAAGTCTGTTTTACATTGTCTTTACTGACTTCTCTTCCACTATTTTGCGTAATATTTCATACTACTTATTTACAATCAGTAAACAGGTTTATTCCAAAAATTTACAGATTCATATACATGTATGATTATGAACAGGATCTGTACAACTTACATCGAGCACAAGTGATTTCGAGGTTTATATCGGCATTTGCCATTTCCAAATTTACTTTCTTCTTATAACTGTTCTCAATTTAAAATTACTAATCGATCACATCCACCTTTTGTAAACGGTTTATTCCAAGTTTACTGATCAAACATCGTTTTAACATGCAAAGTGTCCTGGAAAAATTTAATTCAGATATGAATTAATCTCTCTTCACCTTCTAAGAACTAAGATACCAACCGAAAATAATCTTTATTCTGAAATGCTTGATAATTTCAGTCAGTATTTTCAAAATGTCATTCCTCCAAACGTGAGCAACAATCGTGAGCAGAGTGAAAGAAGTCCTTATTAAAAGTTTATTGTCCATATTTTTGAAAAATCACTGGAATTATATTGGTGGAAAAACACTATGTCCTTCTCACTCTTCACACATTAATTACAGATAAAAATAACATTTTAATAGTAGTGAGAGACCGTGACTTGTGGAGTTGAGTCTGCGTCGAGTGTTAGATCGATATACACCTCATGGAACAGATGATGGGTATCGCTAGAGCCTGGATTGGTTGAAGCTAAACATTGACACCGTTGGATAGCAGGTTAGTGGTCTGAACGTTATCTGTCCGCTCTTGAGACTGAAAGTCTTGGGTTTGAGTCTCGTAGGAACGTGGATAAGCACGGGTTAGGATTCTCATACTACTACCAAACGACTGTCCAGTGCTTCCAGGAATTCAACGACCGCCAATTGCAAAACTACTCTGATCTCCACAAACTTTCATACTTATATTTCAAGGAGTTTTATTGTTGTTTATTTAATTAACTTCCTCTTAGTCATGTTTAAATATTATTTAAAGATTTTGTAAAGACTAGTCTGATTATCATTAGAAATTCGTCCTTGGCTGACATTATTTTAAAATCAGTGGAAATTTAAGCGGTGCTTCGTCTCACTACGTGACTACTCTTCGAGACCATTTCAGAGATCATACACACAGACGTTTGCTCTCATTATTATTATTATAAATATTTTTCACTGTTGAATTTCGTCGAGACAGATTCCCAAGGTTCTAATGAAGCTTATAAGTAACGAAATTCAGTTATGTTGGTAACAAGGGTGTATCTAGCTGTGGAACTCGATAGTACACATTCTATAACGAAAGTTCGTTTAAAATTAGGAATGTCGACTGTTGGTTTGTAACTGTGTGATCTGATAATAAGACAACAGCAAGTTAACTTCAAGGTGGTTAGTTAAATCCCTGTCGACAGGGGTCGGTGTACACATTTGAGAACCGTGCAAAAACAACAAAACCAGTCCATCACTCCCTTGTTATAATCTCTGCCGTTTACCATATCATCTCATTAAACGGTGTTATTTTTTCCAAGTGGCAAACAGTCTGTTTGTGGAAGATGCAACAACAGTTGCACATTTAATCTGCCAATTATTTACTTTATTCTGTAAATTTTGTTGGTCGTGTCATTCGTCATCTGACTGTTTATAACAAATCACTGATTGATTTACTGGAATTTTCATGATGTTTCAATAAGACATGACACTGAAACCATCGTGCACATTTTGATGGTATTGGTATCCCAGTAAAAATTAGATAGACACTCAGGCTACGGGCAATCATAAACTATACAATTATCTAACAACTATATCCAATCTGTTTCTTCTACTTACTTTCAAATTCCAGAAGCTATAAACTCTCTTCACGTTTCAAGGAGTTGTGGAGAGATTGGATCCCATTAATTAAATTTTAATATGGTCAATATGCTACGTATGTCAGTCGACATGAGTAGTATGCAACATGAATCAGAAGTAGAATGCATCGCATCGAATGGATGAGGAGATCGAAGTGAAGCGAAAGGAAATATGAACAGAGAGTAATTGTATTTACAACCGGAATCAGAGGATGATGAATTGTGTAAGAGAAAATGGTGAGACTTTAATTTGTGGACGATCTTTGAGCGACGCTAGACTGACCTTGACAGTGTCCACCTAGTTACTAGGGATAAATGAGGGTTATAAAGCAAGAAGTTTGAAGCATAACAATTATGATTTACAGCTGATGGTTAAGGTTAGGAATTACATTTATGGTTTTTCATCACGAACTGACATCTGCTATAATGCCAAGACACTATTTAGCCAAATGGGTGGATGAATTTCGCACCAAAATCTCAGACTTGAAAAATTTAATGTATGGTTTCTGTATTTTACTAAGACATTCTGTGTTTTGCTTTAACTGATAAAATTGGTTTTTCACAAGTCTTTAAAATTAGACATTTATCCTAATAACAGAAAAAACAACATATACAGTACTTTATTTCCAGTCTAAAGATACGACCAACATTCACATATAGACGTTTATAAATGACAAGATGATGGCAGCACTCCCTCGGTTAATTACGATTATGGTTAATTTATGTCAAGCCGTTTTATGAACTTATTCAACAGACAATGTTATTCGGACAGTAAAAATTGGTCTATTGCTTTGTGTTGTTATTATGATCACTATCATGTCTGTATAAACGTGTACACTTGACCACATGTGACAGCCTACTCACATATCTCAAGCACAAATGGTGATGGCTTATTTATCGCTCGATGAATCATTCTCTTTCCCATGTATATATGTGATTGAATCCTGTTATTAGACGTTTCCTTGCCTTGTCTTTTCTTGTCTTGCCTTGCCTTGTTGCCCTGCTATTCCTTAATTCGATTTAACCATGAATTCGTCCTTGTATTCGCTCACTCACACACACATATTAGCCTCTCTGCACCAATGCGATCGATGTTCTCGTAATTTTGTTATCTGTGCTATCCGCTAATAAACTGTGGTCGCCGCTTCTTATTGTTTTCTGAATACAAAAACCACTGGGATTAATGTAATAGCGGTTATCAACGCGATTGATTAACGAGGCTAAGTTACAATTAGTCTCCAGCTTAAAGCCCATAATATATCTTATTCTCGTTTTTGAACATCCCATTCTATTCATTCTACTTAAGTCATATTTTGACCTTGTCAATTAATCGATTATCAGTCTTGGCTGTTTATGTATGAGCGTATATGAGTGTACACATCATTACCCATGACTCATCCATCACATGTCTATAGTTTATTTTGTCTGCCTATTAATATTGCATAACACTTGGCTAGAAATGGAATTGCCTTACCAGTCATCTTCCCTGCACGTTGTTTTGTTTGATATATATAAAATATATGTATTCACATGTCCATTCTCATTATTCAACTTATGTAATTACGTTATTGACTAACGCAATTCAAGTCGATAATTATTTACAAGGATAGGTGACATATAAATTTCAACAACAACAACAACAACAACAACAACAACAACAACAACAACAACAACAACAACAACAACAACAACAACAACAACAACAACAACAACAACAACAACAACAACAACAACAACAACAACAACAACAACAATCATCATTACGATCTATATGGAGTCAGATCCAAAGGCCACTAAAAGTTCAATAGACTTAGGAATAAAACTATAAAACTGATTCTTCAAACTCATTTCTCATCATAACAAATAAGAAAGTAACGTACATTAAAGAAAGTATATAACCATAATTTCTGAATAAATTCAATTCACATAATGATAATAAAAGGAAAATGAATTCGAACAGCTAACATATTAATTGTAGAGACAAATAATATTCCTCTGGGTAGCAATGAGTTATAGCAGCAATTTACGATTAAATGATGCATCGTAAATAAACGGAAAGATGAGATTCCAATCATAACGGATTAATGTGTACTAAAATGTACGAAAATGCCTTTAGGAATATTCTGCATTTTTGGGCACAATTCACGTGATTTCACTTCATATGGTTTCTCTCTATTCCAATTACCACTAAAACAGTCAACACAATATAAATCATCAGTTACATTCACTATGAGAACAACAACAAGGTGATTGCAAACAATGTTATTTATTCTCACATCATCAAGAGCAATCACTTACCCTGGACCATAATTACACACGATTGATAGACCGTATTTTGGACAACTCGCAACTCCACATCCAATGTCTGTGGTCTTGGCCCAAGCCATCTGAAACGGAATGTGAACAAGGAAATAATGTGATCGTTCGTTAGGTCAATTGCAAGGCATTTTCACTATGTTTCAACATTACCTGTGTGTAAATACATTACTTGTGAATGATGGAGCTAATGTTATCAACTGAAGGAGATACACGTAGAAATGCCAGTATGTGTTGAATAAATATGTTTACACTTGGTGCAGATATGATAACTAGTTGAATTCTACAGAACACACTCAATCAATCACTCACTCACCACTCATTCTGTCTCATGTCATCCAACAGTCGAATGTTGATGAGAATGGACTTACTTGTGTGTAATGCAAACATTTCATACAGTTGTTGTGATTGTAGTCGTATAATTTGTGCTCATTGAACCAAGCATCTACTCCTCTGAATGAGAACACAGTGAATTGAATAGAAATGATCTTACGACTTAATGGTTGGACCGAGAGCAATATTTTGTCCAACCCAATCGAATTCATCCGAATGACGTTTGTCATGTTGCAATATGCATTTGTTCGCCAATGTTTGTGCTTGTGCAGCCAGATCGTAATTCCATTTCTACAAATAAACGTTACGTATATTATTTGAAGAAATTATTGAATAGTGAGTGATTTACCAATGGTGACATATATTTAGCTGGAGGTTGTCCATCAACTTTACAATCAACTAAATCCTGTCTGTATTTTATATGCAGTTCGAGTATTTCTAGACTGTTTTGATCAAGTTTTCTGTTGATGTTCACACAGTAGACAAAAGTTATCAGAATGTATATTATCAGTATGTTATACATTTACTTTCGTTTAGTATTTTGTTGCAATGATTTTACATAATGATTTCAATGCTGTTTTATTTACTTTTATATAAGTTATATGGATTCATTCTTTGCTCTACATGTTTTTGTTTTATGCAATTGAACATTGGTATGCAATATAACATTTCAATATTATAAGAAGGGATATAACTTGATTCATTTAAACATGGGTCTAATCTATGAATAACATTGATTGTTGTTATGAGAATTTCATTGGGAATGTATTGTTATGATTATAAAATATGCGGGAATATAAAGTACACTTTTTTTTTCGTGGAATAAAGAATATTGTTGACACGTCAGTTGGTATGTAAAAGAACTTTCGAGAGAATTAATTGATCATGATCATCTGATTAATGAATTTGAAGAATTATGAAAGACAAGAAAATCTTAAACAAACATTGATCTATTTGATAAATAAATTAGTTTACATGAAAATGATTTACATCATATTCAATAATCTACTCTTGAATCCTGATTTCATTTGTTGACTGATTGATTCTAAATATGTTAGAAGTGAAAAATATTGTCACAAGTTACAGTGAATGAAAGAATAACATTGGAATTGTATCCATGGATACCTAATGTATAATTTAATATTGGTATCTAGTAGGGTCTTATGTAATTATTGCTGTAATGAGATATACTAAGATGAAACAATTGTTCAACACTCCACACTTTGAATCGTAATGATATCGATCCATGCATCAAAGTGACGATAATTAGTATTGACAAAAAATGTTGGAAGGACATAAATTGCTTAAATATATAACAACAATAATAAAAACAATAATCTGTTCAACCTTAAGGAATATAAGAAATAAGACGTTTCAATTATTGTTGATGATTAGATTACACAACCGTTACATTTAATCTTAGAAACCAGTTATCAATGTGTGATCATTACATTTCTATTATAATATAAAATTGTGATCATTAGAAGTATTTAAATTATAATACAAACTAAGAATCTTAGAAATCATGCAATTTAACCAAGAGGTATTAAATAAGCATGAACATATGTATTGGACTTGGAATTCAAAATCAAACAGTCGTCAACAATGACAAAAGAATCGTTAGTTTATACAATCACTACAGAAATGTAGTTGTAAGTAGATCATAAATGATTAAGTGCTGTGGTATCGAGTTGCGGTTGACTATGATCATCACTACTGGAAGACTACGTGCCAGTTACATGATAGGATCCCTTGTAGGCCAAATATCAGAAGGCAGTTGATGGCTGTTGTCGAGATACATTTGTTGGCGATCTTGTGATATCGAAAGAATACCGAGATCGTGTCAAAGGAGTACAAGTGAAACTACTGAGCAAACGTAAGTTCGTGCAAGGTTACAACCAACGGGAGAATGTATGTTTTTAACACAATTAAACAAACAAGTACAGTAAAACAATCCCCGGTACTATTGGTTATAATAGTAATTGTTTCCATTAAATTAATTGCGTTCTCTTGATAAAAGTAGGTCACTACAATACCTTGAAATTGTACACGTTCAAATCTATTAGATTAACAATCAGGAATAAAAATGAATATTCTTGATATTTATGTTATATGTTTAATGCTCTTTAGATTCACGTATCCTGGTATTGATTTCCATATTTCTCCTTTTTGATTTAGAATATCTTAAACAATTTCTAAGTCTATTTTCCTTCAGTCTATGTAATGGATTCTTAAAAAAACCGAAAGTATGTTGATTAAGTTATAAATTCAAACACGAAATCTATCTTACTTTGAACTAATGGATATTCCATTAATATTGATTACATATTGGCGTAATCTTTATTTCAGATCATTTTGATGAATGATGTATAGGGGAAGAAGTATCAAGAGTTCAGGAATGTTGATTAATAGCCAATCATATTCATGAATGAATTTTAAGAAATCCACAACTGTTTGTGTTGATAGACAATATATTAATTAGATGTACAAATTCACTGAGTAAAATATATCGTAGTATAAACAAACTACTTAAATACTTTGTAGGGCCAGTGAAATGAACAGGTCATCAATCCCAGTCAAGGTCAAGGGAAACCAACACTCATCAGTTAATCTCACTCCATGGACGGAGGGTTAATTCATGTTAAGTTGTTGACCGCGTGGTGTGACTTCGAAGTTAGCTGTTGTTTGCATCATCCCCGACTAGCCCTAGTAGGCTTCTAACCATTAGGCATTGATCATCTACGTTGGTAACCGACAGCTTTTTTTTGTTTCATTTATGTGAATTCTTTTCATCCTTCCATTAATCCTACTGAAATAATTATATTTTCATGTTTATTATATACAGAATAATAAAGATCAAATTCTCAATTCAATAGACAACTTCCAATTTACTCAAGAACACATGGTGCCGGGATTTGGAGTCAGTCATCAAACGAACTGATAGCTTCTTTGGAAACAACTAGATAGGAAATTACAAAGACAAATTAGGTAGACGATTCGTGGTAGTCAACTTGTGCTCTACGCATGGTAACACATGTGGTATAAGTATGTATCATGCTAAGTGACCGTCTAATTCAGACAACGTTGATGTCTATTTCATTATTTATTTTACATAGTAAAGTTTCGAACAGTGTACAATGCTTACTTTTTGTTACGTTTCTTCTATACTACTCATTTGTATTCAGTAGTTCGAGTTAGTTCTATTTATTTTAATGCCCACCATGTGTAATTCGCGTTATTTACCCACAGATTTTTCTATACTACAGTAATTTATCCACTTCTGATCATACGACCTTATTTGTATATGCTAGTATGTATAACACTACTTATTTCGAAAACTGTCTAATGTTGAACGTTGTGACTAATCTACTTCTATTAATCGACTACAGTTTTCTCATTGTAACCTATCGAAACTTTAAAAATACCAGGTGGAGGCTGAAGAGGAAATTAAGAAAATACGTCATCCATTGAGGAATTACTTTAACTGTTTCAAGAGTGAAGCAACAACTTGGAATACTGAAGGGAAATGGAAAAGAGGAAGACCGAATAGCACACTGAGTCGAAAATTGACATCAAACATCAAAAGAATGAATAGCAATTGGAACCAAGTGGAAAACATTTTCCAGTACATTGTTGAATGGAGGATGATGGTTGATGGCTTAGGCTGCTCAACGAGGGTAACAGTTGTAATTGAATAAGTAAGTAATATGATCACATGAATGAACTAAATAAATCGATTGAAACAAAACACTTCAAATTTACAGAAACACAGACAAAGAAACCATAAAAGTAAATTCAACATTCTTCCTGTTAATTAAAACTAGTTCAAGCATAATTACCTCACAATAATTAGCTCAGAGTATAATCATGTGGAATTGATAATGTTCCACATATCACGCATTCATTACCTATATTATCATCTGTATTCATCACTGTTCACCTGTTCTACAAGGTATAATTGAATTAGTGAATGTTTCTTATTAGAAGGCATATATAATGCATTGGTCAGGTCACATTTCGATCTTATATGATGGGTTCAATAAACAAGATAATATTGTTTGACTAATGCTGGTGATTCTTGTTGAATAGTCCATCCATTTTCTATTTCAATATAATGATTATTCAAAGTGAAATGTGTTTTGATTTGCCTGTGTTCATATTTTATTCAATATAACATTAATTAATTTGAATGTGATGCTTTATTCAAGATACATCATTCATGTATTGTTGAATGAACATGGAGTATGCTGAGTATGACATGTAATGTGTGATTTTGTTATAGATTTGAATATTCTTCATATATGTGATCTCATTGTAATGAACAATGGAAATGGGTGTATAAATCAATATATAGACGAGTGGATATTCGACTCTAGTTGTTGATGTTGTCGTGTTTTTGTGTTCTGAACTCTTCACCTGTAACAGTCTTGATGTTCTTCCTTAGCGTTGTAGTAATTGAACTGTTTCCTCGTCTTACAAATATAAATAGTAAGTGACACAGATATCAAACGATTAATTGAAATTGTTTAGTCGTGTAGGATTTTGTCAGTGAGTGATCCCATCTATTATTATCAATGATTTGGAATTAACGAAATAAATCACCAAATGTTCTGTGCCTTATTGACATGCGGATTATATGAAACTAAACATATTGTTCTTATGACAAAAGTCTCATTAATATGACAATTACTGTACAGGCATTGTGAATTTCATAAAGCTTTTTTGCTCATTCAGGGAATCGTTTCTATGTTCAGTCGATTGATTATCATGTCACTTTTAGTCACACAGTTTACAATGTTCTCAACAGGGATATTCAGTTTGTCAATATAATCAAGTATTAGTTTAATGGAGGTGATATTGTATAAAATCCATTCACCGTCACTTCGTTTTAATTGATCATAATTTTTTATCATTATTCCCATATTTATCCCATTTTAAATACTGATTATAATGCTGCTTTGATACTGTTATTGATTATTTAATAGTTGTATATCAACTAAATGACTACTGATTAAAAAATGATAAGTAATAACTAATTATGTCATTTAGTATAGAGATCTAATGAATGTGTATTATGTATTGATGGTTAGAATGTTCATCGACATCATTAAAATGGTATGGAGTTGTATGATGTGAGATCGATGTAGAGTCAATTATACTTACATGGTAAACAATAATGCACTTACCTATTACGTAATGAGTAGCGAAAATGATGAAATCTTCAATATTATTTTTATCTATGTAGAATGTCACAATAAGTGTATACTATGCATATTGTTGACACTGTAATGTGTTTTCGATTGCGTTCTAGGTGGAACGATTCTACTGTAGATGTTCTTTACTTTCAGATTTACTGATTGCTTGCTAAATCAATACAGATCAAATAAAGTATCTACAATGTTGGCTATCTAACGAACAGTTTATCATGACTGACTAAACCAAAATGCTATACTTATGGATAATCAGGTAATTAAACTTTGTAAAGATAAGTATTTTCTCAAAAGAAAATTCCAATGAATTTGACATAGTGAGGTTTTCGTAGATAGACTTCCATGCCGACAATCGGTTTTTCATAGCAATAGAAAGTTCTAAACCTTCATGAAATATGGATAAAATAGTTTTGGAATTAATCAATTTGG